TGACTTGTTAGGGCTTGCCCTGATAGTCACCTGCACTACCCAACTACAGCCTGCACCTGGACAGTCCCTAAATGTACGAGACTCAACCCTCCATGGGGGAAAAAAAAGATAATCGAGTCAGGCAACAGGTTCATCTCAATTCATACACTACAGGAGTCATGGCTACTAATAAAACATTACGAGAAAGAAACATGAAAAACAAGTAATGTATATAATTAGCTTTCCTCGGAATTCCCTCGTAGCTTCCAGAAACCAGGAGCTTAGGGACTTCCCAAACTCAAAGAGGCACTTGGACCATTGTTTGGCACCAAGAGCATTACTTAATTTGACTAATAATTTCTGAATCCATTTGTACTTTTGACCATGCCACAATATCCTGTGGCAATGAGTTCCATGAGATGATGATACACTATGTGGAGAAAAAAAACAGCTTCCTTTTGTCTACATTAAAACAGTTACTTGGTAATACCCTAATATATCCCTTTGTTCATATTATGAGAAATGGCAAAATCACTTTGTGTTTTCTGAATCATCATCTATTTTACACACATCCTCTTGAGTTAGTTCCCACTCCCTTTTCCTCAGTGACTGCTTTTCTAAGAGATCCTTCAGTCTACTTGGTCTTATTTTGTATGAAAACTGTTCCATAAACTCTGATCATCAATACTCAATGCTTTATCAATCTTTCTCTTCTGTCATACTGAAAACTGATGCATCACAAACAGCAGTAAGCCAGAGTGCAAACTTATTTCTAACATAGAATCATAGAATCCTAGGGGTTGGATGGGACCTCGAAAGATCATCTAGTCCAACCCCAACATCTAGTCCAACATATCAGTTTGTTGCTGTAACATCCACTCACTACAACAGGCTTTCCTAGGGGTAACAACCTTCCTCCCACTTCTTAAAGACAGCAACAATTCCTCATTAACGAGGCAAATAATTTAGAACTATATTAGCTAGATGTAACTGTAATTGCCTGGTCTACTTTTTCCCAGTCAGGACTGTATTTAAAAAAAATTTCCACCCCAGATGTTCTGCTTTTTATGAACTAACTAATCATCTTCATCAGCAACTAACATGCATTAATGTTCTTAGCCACAGCAAAAAATTATCTGAAATTCCTTCAGCAAGGGTACAGGCAAAGTCTTAATGAAATATGCACAGTAACATTTAAAAAAAAAAAAAGGGAAGCAAAAGTTTGCTATCTAGTATATAATCACAGAGCAAGTCAGGTGTGCAGATTTCCCAGCACAAACTTTATTAGAGTTCAGTTAAAAATACATAATCTCCAGACATTTGAGATGTAGTTCTGACTGATAAGGTAGCAGACAGGAAATGAAACCCCTCCCAAATGCTGCTCCTTATCTTGAAAAGCTCTGAAATTATTATTGAACTAATAAAGTAATTTTACTTTTTAAAAAAAATTATCTTATTTGATAAAGGCAGTTGTGAGATTATTACTTTTTGCTGGGTTTGTACCATACTGATGAGCATGACAACTTCTAAGAGTCTTTATAGGAGACTCTGGTAGTGAATCTGTCAGCCTTTCTGAAAGACAGGATACTTGCTCCATTAATGTAAAAGTTAGTAGACAGCATCATACATTATTATTACCATTCATTATGTTGCTTTAATGTTTGGATATTAAAAGAAAACAGAGAAGTGAAAAAATGCAAGATAGCCCCACGCTCAGGAAGGTTCCCAGTCCTGTCATGCAGTGTTTAATGGCAACAGATCACTTCAAGCTCGTTCTCAGGTTCTGTTCACAGGTTCTATTTCTAAATTTCAACATCTTAAATGTTAAAATTCTAGGCTGAAGTTTACCTTCTGGGCTTTGTGGGAAATATGCACATAATTACATTATTAGTAAATGATCAGAGGTATTTCCTGATCAATAAAACACAGGAAATTGTAACATTATGTCCAGGAAGTTCCATTCATGTGGAGAGTTCATCTCCACAAATTTGAGCTTCTGTTCTTCACCTGTAATTATGAAGCTGGCTTTAAATCCTTCAAAAATTCTGGTTTAGAAGTTGGGTTTCTGTAAGGTATCCAACCAGCCTATACACCACCCTGGTTCTTGGATGTCCCCCCCATCTAGAAGTGTAATTTCTATAGCGTCCAGCACCCTCTACTGGGACAGGTAGAAAAGCAGTATTTTGAAGATAATGCTTTAAAAAACCCATAAAAATTAAAGGAGACTAGAGAAAAGAACAATTATCAACACCATGCAATACAGTCATACGTCCCACAGTACCAATAAACTCTGATCATAGCAAGGCTGTGTATTGTTCAATCTAGTATTACCAATATTGTGAGTACTTCCAGAACTACAAATAATTCTTATTACCTGCCTTTTTTTTTCTTTAGAACATCTGGGTTGTACAGCTTTGCTTTTGCTTATAGTGAGCATGAACATAATACATCAGCTACATCAAATCTGGGTGAATGAGCTAAAGGATAAAATACACTTAATAACTACACTTTAAGGTTAACATCTGAGATACAATTGTTGAGTTTGCTGGTCCACTTGCAGACATATTTATCAATGCTAGCCAGCAAATTTATTTAAAAGCTAGATACTGTTAACTCTTGCAAACAGCTGGAAGAGATGACATGTCATGAACTGTTGGAAGAGATGACAGAACTAACAATCAAGTCAGCACTTTCATGTAACTCACACTAAAGAAAACACGAATCATATTTCACACCCCAATTCAAAATGAAAACACATCTTAGTGTCACTGCCATCAGCTGATGCAGGCATTAAGGGTTGTAAATTGATAATCTGAAGAATGGGTGTCAAATTTCAGAAAAGAAAAAAAGCTGAACTGACCTCTTCATCAGATTCATCTGCAAACACTGACAGTTTCTGTGAAACGAGATTTTTCTGCGGCAGTTTTTTGGGCATAATGAGCCCATATCTGGGGAAAAAAAATAAAAGTTACCACTAACATCACTCAGAACAAAACACACAGCATGCTCCAGATCAAAAATCCATCCCTCACAATTTTAGAAACAAATGATCAACATCAACATGAAGTATTAAGTGTAGTACTGAACAGCACTGCCAGCAGTGCACTCAGCCTGGGCACACAGGTCAGCTTCTCCCATAGATACTGTTGACTTTTCCATGCAAATTTTGGGGATTTGGGCACAGATCTATCTAGCCCACTGGTCTCTATGTTCCCTCCCTCGCAGAATTAATAAATTACTACTGTTTCCTCTCTAGAAATTTAGTCTTAGTCTACACTAGACACTGTAACTACGTTTGCAGGGGCAGTAAGTTTGCTGCTTTTACACAGCAGCGTAAACCACCAACACACAGATACAGCCACAGCAAAAGAAGACAACATTTACAGTCAGCTTATGTTGTGCACAGATGAACTAAACACACAGAACTCTGTTGCTGACACAGCCAGCCTCTGTGCTGAGAAACACTTCTTGTGGTTTCGGTGATGATCTCTAAACCAGGACTTTCTCTTCCCCCTGCCTTTCCCTGAGTTCATCACTGAGTAAACAGTTCGTCACAGGCTGTAGCACTGAGCTGGAAAACCCCACACTGCCGTAAGGCAAAACATCATCTCCGTGACGAACGAGCTGCTTCGGTGTGCTCGGAATCTCCATCCCCTGCTCCTGGGGCCCCGGGAGCCGCGATGCAGCGGGGCCGCCCCGGGCCGGGGCTCAGGGGGCGGCAGCTCCTCCCCGGGCCGTCTGGGAACCCTGAGGGGATTCTAAGAGTGAAAACTACCCCTTGGCAGCCCCGCAGCAGCCTCCGGTGCCTTCCCACCGGCTTCGGGTTTGTTTTGTTGTTTGTTTGTTTCTAAATAAACACCGTTTTGGATCCAGTCCAGCAGAGGAGGCTGCGCGGAGACACACACGGGCCGGCACACGCCAGGCCCCCTCCTGCGGCCCAGGCGGCTGCTCCGTCCGAGCTCGCCCAGGCCGAAGACAGGCCTGTCTCCGCCCTCTGCAGCGGCCCCCGGGCCTCCC